CACACACACGCACACGCACACTGAGGGGGCCCATGCACCAAAGTGGCATATGAATAGATACATGCTTTGTTGTTTGTTTGTCTGCCTGTCTGTCTGTCTGTTTGTCTACCCATGGCTGAGTTGTCGTAATCCAACGAGCAGACAGGTTAAATACACCGCAAGGACAGACCACACACACACTGAGAGAAAAAAATGGGAGCAAAACGAGTTAGGATAAAGTGGCAAAGGCGGCAAACATGTGCTCCTGCTGCAACTGTCGCGGCGCTGTGGCACGCAGCAGCCACCAGGCCAGACACAGCCAACAAACAATAATAATGCAACAATAGTGCGCGCCACAAACAAATTGCTTTTGTATGTCTGCCGCTGTCTCTGTCGCTCTCTAACTTACTCTCTCTCTCTCTCTGCTGCTCATCGGGTTCACTTGCAGATTAGTTTCGTTGTAAATTTTTATTTGCCTTTCTAGACAAAACGAGCACAGGCGTAGCTGGCCGCAACTGCTGTGAAGGGGCTGCAATTAGCTGAGCCAAAACTCATACAAAAAAACTTTGCCACATCGCGCACTGCGGGGCACAACTTCGATTTACCCTCTCGCTCTCACGCTTTCCACAACGCCACTGTGCGGCTGTCTGGGCTTAGCTTTTGTTGTCTGCAAAGTTTGGCTTTGACACAACATAGCAACCTGTGCCGTGGGTGGGAGTCCGAAATCCATTCATTGAAACGTGTAAACTTGTTCAGCTGAATTGAAAATTAACTATAAATTTGATGGCAACATGCAAAACTGTCTGTCCGCAGCAGCAATGCTTCACTGTGCTAGGTGTCAGCCAGTTGGCAGCAGTTGACACCTCAGCAACTGCGAAATTTAATGCGGCCCGCAAGAATTTCCAATACAGAAATTCATTAAAAAAGCCGGCTTCAAATGAAACAAGTTGCAGTCGGGCATTTACGACTGCGCAATGCTCGTGCGCGCTACGAAGAGAAAGCTAAAGGTTTACTAAGGGCGAAGTCTAGTTGCATTTTATGGGTCTATCTGTAGAGCAGATCTTGTTGATCTAACTGCCTAGCTAGGTATGGAAGATATGAATATGGATATGATTAGATGAATGAATATATGTAGAACAGCCCTATATATAATATATATAGTATATTTTCATAGGGCATTTATAGACTCGTCTATAAATTTTAAGCCTTCCCCTGCCAATATCCGATGTTCTTCCTTCTCAACACTTTGTAAGACAAACCCAATTTAGAGTCCATATTAGCATTATGAGCTCCATAGCTTCACACATTTCCCAGCACCAATATGCTCACTTTCAGTGCGCGAACAAGTATAGAAATGCCCGAAATTGAATTGCCCAAAAATTTGTTTGTGCAAGCCGTACAGAAGCCGCACAAAGGTGCGAACTACTTGTACTGCTAGGAGTGGGGCGTTAACCCTCTTGACAAGCGCTGCTCCATAATAAGTAATACATGTTTTGTTGCGTACAAGTGTTTGGCCCAAACAAAAAAAAGGGTCGAGACTTGGTACGTTTTATAGCCGACGCCTTTTTCGTTCTCTTTTCTCTGCTGCTTTGTGCGGGGGAATTAGAATTGCGAAAAGAAAATGTTGTTGAATTTAGCAGGCTTTAAAAAGCGAGTGAAATGAAATTCAATAAAACGCCAGCGAAAGGCCTATGAAAATAAGCTCGATAAACAAAAGGCAGCGACTGAAACTAATAAATTTTTTGTCAAATTCAACAAATCACACAGACACAGAGTGAGAGGGGGAAGAGAGACGCACACTCGTTTGAAACGTTAGCGGAAATCATTTAAGCTGCCAAATCAGCCAAGCAGCTGGGCCAAAAAGCTGGCGTCAAGCTGTAGGTATTATTAAGGTAGTCGACTGTGGCTGTGGCTGCGGCTGTGGCCAGATGCCAAGGCAGAAAAAACGGGCGATTAATATTCATTCAGTGTCGCGCGTATATCACTTTTTATTTGCACAGGCAACGAGCGAACGCCGGCAAGTATGCAATGGAATTCGCCGCACGCAGCAGCAGGTGAGCAGCAGGCTGCCTGCTCACGTGTGTGTGTGTGTGTGTGTGTGTGTGGCGCGCGTGTTGATGTGTATGAGTAACGCACAATTACATACAACAATTTGTGCTTTGTTTCTGTGCACGTCCATGTGACTACTGCGCTCCCAACTCCCAAATCACCAAAGAGCATTCGTGCTGCAGACCAAAAGCAGACCCAAAAAGCCAAGCAAAGGCCAGGCGAAGCTAGGCCAGGCCCGACCCGACCCGGCCCGGCCCGACCCGGCCCGGCCCGAGCATTCGCTTATTTGTTGCTGCCACACGACTCGCTCTCCCCAAGGAGACGTGCACTTCAAATTGGATGGCCAAACATCAAGTTGGCTTGGCGCTGCTGAGGCAACTGCAGTTGCAGTTCGATGCTCCAGCATTTTTCCTATGTTTCTATGTGAAAATTGAGAGAAATTGCCAAACGACTTGGTAAGCGATATTCTGTTTTGACAAGCTAACACACTGCCCAGCCAGACAACTGCCATTGTGTGTGCTTGAACATGAGTAGAGCGGCTGCCAGGTGTGCCAGCAGCTGCTCATACCTTTTGATACGCTTTTGGCACTTGGCCTCGTGTGCGTCTTGTTTTTTTTTGTTTTCGGAACTGGGAGTTGGTGCCAAGTGGCAGCAGAGGACATTGCGTCAAATCAAATGAAATTCGACTGCCCAGCGTTCAGTGTTGCGTTACAGCGACGTAGTAAGGCCCACAAAATTACCACTGGGATCAGGGCAAATGACGCGAAACAGTCGCACGGACGGAGAAGAAGAAGAAGAAGAAGAAACGGCAGCAGCAGCAGCAACAACAACACGTTCCTTACATAAAAATCGTGCAGGCCATGCTAAACGTTTATCCCTTTTAGCCCCAAGGACCCAACAATGAAAGTCTTCAGTTTCAATGGCTCGTTTAGCCGTTGGCTGACTGCCTGGCTGCCTCGTAAGCTGAGACTGATTGTGATGCTGTAGTAAGTCGGATTCAGGATAAATGCCGCATCATTGGTTATTTATATGCGTGCAACTCTACCTGTATATCTACCTATATATATATTTATTTGATTTCATTGATGAATGTATCTGGCTTTGCGTCCACTCACAGTAGCTTATGTCCTGTCATTAAGTCAGAGCCGAGCAATGTGCATAGTTTCAGTTTAGCTAAACATATGGCCTAATTGAAACAGGCTCTACCTCGCTCCCTCTCACTCTCTGTGAAATTAATTAAATGGCATTCAAATGATTGGCTACGTGCCATTATTAATTTGCGCATAAATTATCCACATGTCTTAATGCCAAATGATTTCCTTTTTATGGCCAATCACTCGACTTGGCCACAAATTAATCAGCTCGCTCCAATTCCTTCCACTGTGCGTGAAACTACTCGTAAATATTTAAATGCTGCACGTTTTCCATTTGCCTGAGCTCATTAGAGGCGAATGCTTTGATTTATAGTTAACTCCATGCAGCTCTAATCAATCATGTGTTCTCCATATCAATAATTACGAAAATAATTAAACATCGCCAGACAAGGTGTTGGGCACTCTGATTGGAAACTATTCCAATAGGAATTTGTTGGTCCAAAAATATGTATAAACAGTTATTAACTCTGCACATAACATGAGTAAGAAATGAGGGGCTATTTATAGGGTATGCCTGACTAGAAGGTACCCTGTATCCTAAGCAGTGCTGCGATTCCAATCACTCTAAGCTTATTTTAGCAGTTTCTACTTTTTGGGAGGAAAGGGAAGCTACACAGGCTTAAAGCTGCCAGTTTTTGTGGTACTTAAGTTATGCTACAGCAACTAAATACAAATATCTAATGTGAGCTATATTTATGTAGTGGAATGAGTTATCGAACAATAATAAGAAATAAACATATCAAATATGAATTCTCTAACTTTTGCGGTTTATGAGTTCGTCTCTTTTATACGAACAATCAAGAATAACCTGAGACCTCAATCAATTCTATCTCTAAGAAGCTGTGGTTTAGTGGCAGCAATGTCCCAACGACAGTTGGCCTGCTAAACAATGTGAAGCAAAGCTTGCGATTTGGAATACTTCTACTAGCAAATCGAGAGACTCCGACTCACAGTCAGAGTTAGGGTATACAGACATTGTATTGATATTAAATTATTAAAAATAATATAAAAAATTTCTTTCTATTTCTATTTATATGTTGCTATTGTTATATATAGCTAAAATCTTAAGTTAAGTTTCATTCGAAAACCCATATCCTCAATTATAACCATATTGCAATAAGCGCTTGAGCTGCAGCTGAAGTTTGAGCTTGTCACTCGTTTGGGCTTTTGTTTTCCAATTTAGTATTGCTGCTGCCTCGTAGAACCCATAGTGCCCATTGCTCGTTGTACATGGGCTTTGGCCTGACAGTGCGTGGTTTCTGGCTCAAGGATTTATGTGCTGTGCAGCAGATTTATGTGTTTTTGGCTGTGAAACTGAGAGTGGTCGTGTGAAAGCTACCAGAGAACTGTGCTAATTGAGTGGAGCAATGAATATGACTCAGGCAGTGAGCAGGAGCAGGAGCAGGAGGCTGGCAGCAGGGGCCGCTCAAGTGTTCGAATCGAAATGGCTGCACAGTCTTTGATTGGCCAATGCAATGCATCTACAGTTGATGCAACAACATGCCGCTACAGCGTTCGACTGCAGTTAACAGCCGGCTGGAGTCCAACGCCTGCGCGCTGCAACGTAAACAAATGTTAACCAAATGCCGGCAAGTGTACCCAGTAACACGGACAGCGTTGCCAGTTGCCAGCGTGAAGTTTGTGCAAAAACAACACAAAATACTGGTTTTTCCGAGCCAGCCGATGGCGAGAGAACGAAAGCCAAGCCGAGCGCACGAAGTTGACAGCGGCAGAGGCAGAGGCAGTGGCAGTGGCAGCAGCAGCAGCGACAGCAACATTAGCAGAAACCAGAAACAGTTTCAGTTTGTGCTACAAACGCGTTTTGAACGGTACATGTTGCATGTGGCGCGCATTCTTTCAGTGAGTGAATCGAAGTATAAAAACCAGAATAAACTCGTATCGAACTCAGAGATAAACAATATGAACTACCTGAAGTGGTGTGCAAAAGCTTAACGACAAAGAAAACAAGTGCATCAAATGAATATAGAAGAAAAATCAAGTCTGTGTTGTTTAGTGTAGAAAAAGGCGAATTTAATTGACAAAGACAGCGTCAATTGTGAACTGCAAAATTGTGGACAACGCGCACACACAAACAAGGTGAATATATATAGAAAGCATCAGTTATATACCCAAAGATATGTATGTATATGTTAATGTGTGTGCCACAACCTGAAATTCAGTTGGTCCCTTGTGAAGTATTTTTTGTTGTCGTTGCAACTTGCAGCGTCAGTTGCTCAGCTTGCCCGTTCTTAAGCATTCAGTACTCGATACTCGAGCCGTGGTACCTGTTTGCATTTGGCCGCTTTTATAGCGCGTTCGCCATTGCATGAACTTGGAAGTCGTTTTGCATTTGGCCGCTGACCAGTTGGACCAGCTCTGGGCTCTTGTTGCAACACTTTTTATGTCTCTCGATCGCTGCGATTCTCATGCTAATTGCACATAAATGCCAATTGAAAAAGGAGTTTCGCTCTCTTGCAAATGAAAATGCAAAGAACATAAATTGTATATGCATAAATCAAAATTGTTATTGCCACTTAGCAGCGCGAAAAAGAGCTGGCCAAATGCTTTCGAAACACATAAAAGAAAAAGAGCAAAGTGGAAGCAAGAATAAAAAACTGCATAATCTGCAAGCAGCGAGCGACCAGCACCTGGTGGCAGCAGCAACAACAAAGAAAATGGCTAAAATGCAAGGCAGACAGAAAAAAACCGGGCAGCGGCATCGCATGCCGAGGTCATTTTATCTTGCCCTTCCCCGCACGAACTTCAAAAGCATTTCGAGCTGCGTCGTCTGTTTTTGGTCATTATGAAAAGAAAATATGCGGCAACAACTGCGACAGCGGCACGGCTCAAAAGAACCAAAAAAAAAAATCAGTTTTTACTCGCAAAAAAGTGTAAAACAGCAAAATAGTTAAGCAACAAAGCAACTAACGCGGCAAGCTCAAAGCGCCTTTGACACTCAGCAGCAGCAGCAGCAGCCGGAAGCAGCTCCTGGGCTGCTTTTGGCGCCCAATTGCGACAGCTGCCAATCAACGGCTTTCGGCCATGTTGCATGTCAGTTGGAGTCGAACGTAGTCGCAACATATTCCAATTCAATATTCTGTACAGCAAAAGCTCTACTAAATTCCACTCAAATTGCTGTAACTGTGCGATAATAGGGCAAAGTTATTTGCATAAATAAGCAACTTGCTTTTTACCTTATAGAAAAGAACAAAATATTGAACTCTATTTGTAACTGTGGCAGGTGAAACCTAAATGCTCTATGCCCGCATGTGCGGGTAGTTTGGTAGGGGTGAAGCTTTAGAATTTGAAGTCTTGAGAAATCATTATAATCTGAAGATATGCTTAAGAAAATGAAACTATAGAATGGAGCGGAGTCCAGTAGACAATTTAGAGAGGTCTTGACGAGGTCAAGTAAACTATATATAGAAATATCAAATTTTCGATACTTATAAATAACATATATTCATACATAATAGAATATATAAATGGTATATAGTCTTGGAGAGAATGTTGGTTTTATTTTATTTTCTGAATACTCTTAATTATTTCATAATTTATTAAAAGTTTTCAAAATTTTATATAGAGATGAACGATAAAGTTTTTGGTCGCCGAAAAATATTTAAAAAATAAAAAACTAAATAATATATCATAAGCGTTAATTTATAAACTCAAAAGTCCTGTGTATACATATTTGGCTTACCACAAAATTTGTTGATCCAATATTTAGTGCTCCTCCCTGTGCTCATGGATGTTTGGAAATATTAAAAAGAAAGGCACAAAAATAAGATGTTTTGTATTTTTAAATATTTTAGAAGAGTTTATAAAAATTAAATAAGTGTACTAAAAAATTGTTGGTAGTCTAGTTCTAATAGTCTATAAAACAAATAAATTTAGACTAGCTCTTAAAATGTTCTTAACTGTATTTAACTACTTCAATTTGCAGTAGATTCAATGACATAAGCTTCCACAGCTCTGCTCTTGCTGATAATCTACAATAAAACACATTTCATATGTACAAGCCAATATCTTTTTATACGTTGCACATTAAGTGACAAAAGGTGTATAGCCGTTGTTAGAGTATGTGAAAAAGAATTAATATTGAACGAGGAAGCACGGGAATTGCTTCAGTTCGTAACTTCAGCAAATTGACCGCGATTACCGCTTATAATAACTTCACATTCAATTATTGGTCAGGCAGTGGGGCAACAAAGACATTTGCTGATCATTAAACGAATGAAGCAATTACTTTATTATTCTTGCATATTTGATTCAAGCGAATCAACAAATTTTCTATTGTTGTAACTATAACAAAGTGCCTTCATTTACTGTATATATGTAAACATATGTATATGTTTATCAATATGTATATATGACACTGCATTTTTAGGGTTGGGATGAGCTTATGCTTATATTATAACGTGCCTCTGATTATATAATTAATACAAATTAATAATGGGAATTGTCGTTTGAATTATTTATGGAATCTGGCGAGTCTGTTGTCAGAGTGAAGAAAATATGCAATTCTTATAGCGTAACTCAGTTCTTTTGTGGTCTCTTGTAATGCTGATTACACTGGCCAACTAGTTTTAGTAACTCAGCATGACAATATATACTCTTATGAGATTTTTTTAGTATGCGATTGACCCAGAACGATTTTTGTCTATTTTTATTTGCTTTATTTGTAGTTGGATAGTTTCCGTTTATTTAATATATTTTAGCTAATATTAATTTCCTGATTTCGCCTAAGTTAGTCTCTCATTTGTTATATCCAACTAGCCACATTCAAATATTAAATTATTTTACTAGCTGATCGTTAAGAATTTATAAGAAATATGTTTTTTCAATTGAGAAATAAGCAGTTCTCATTGCATTTAAGCTGCAATTTCATGATTGGTTTAACATAAACTGTTGTATAAATTCACTTTCCCATAAGCGACCTTATCTGACCACTACAAACACAGCTGGCTACACCCGCAATGTTTTAACATATCAGCATTGTATCTACAACCCTCTGGGCTGAAATTAACTTTGTTGTTGCAACGGTTATTAATCAGAAATCATATATATATATGCCATTAACAGTTGTATTGCTTTGAAATAGTTTAGCTATAATAAGCTAACACAGCTCTGGGCTTATCGATTCCACTTTCTGGCCAAGCTAATGTTTTCATTGCGTTTACCGGATATGCCGTGTCCTTTTTTTTTGGTTTCTGTTTTTATGCTGCCTCCCAAACCAAAGGAGAAATACGAAATTACGCCTAATGGTTTTTTAATTGTAACAATAATTGCTGTCGCCATTGCATGAGCAGCTGCCCAAAAAAAAAAGAAATACAAGTGAAAACAAAGAAGAAAAGCCAAAGACGAAGTTTGAATACTCTTTTGATAGAGTTTGAAATTTGTTGAAAACAATAGATATACTTCATATAAGATAGATATAGATAGTTTATCTTAGAGATATGTTAGAACAACAGTTTAACATTAAAAATAGAAAGTTTATGCCAGCAGAAACTCATTCTTATAGAGGCTGCTGAGAAAAATAACTTAAGGTAAATACATAAAAATGAAGAATAGAAAATAAAGAATTAATTGAATGTATAGAAAATGCAGTCAAACAGAAAATGAAACCAAGAAATGGTGTTTGACTAATACGGAGGATTGAAAGGATTGCCTCGGTATGAAAAATATAAAATTGGCTTACAGACAAAGCCATACTTCCTCTCTTTGTCTGGTTTAAAATAGAAAAATTAATAAAAAAGGAAATTTAAATATTCTCTAAGCACTTCATACTTCAGAGATTTATAAATTATCTGTCACACACAAGTCATGAAACATAAAGCACAAAATAAGTCTAGCAGAGAGATACAGACTCAGCTGATAATCTCCACAAACATCGAAGCCATCAATACCTCCTCTTACATCTCCTCTCCTACTCATAACATATTTTCTTAAAAATTCAAAACACCCTTTATAGACAAGTGTATCAAGAAGGTTAGCAACAAGCTAGGCAAGTGTTTAGAGGACTGTGAATTGACCAGCAACCGGACAAAGGGGGCAGAGCAAAAAATATTTCGCTGGCAAAGCTCGACACATAATCGCTCATTTGGACTAGTCTGGCGCTCAGACGTGTGTGTGTGTGTGTCTATAATTAAGCCTAAAAGTGCTGGCCTATGCCTTTTTTATGAGCCAACTGTCCTGGCAGAGCTTCGGCTTGCTGACTTTTGCTGCTAAAATCTCGCTTTGTTATTCTATTATTTTGCTTTTTCTGCTAGCCGAAACTTGCCTTTGTGGCAAGCAGTTGATTATGAGCATTTTGTGTTGCTTGTTGCTGCTGCTACTACTACGACTGCTACTACTACTGATGTTGCACAGTTTTTTTCTTTTGTGGGTTAGCTGGCATCGCACACACTCGACTGTGCGTTGCGGCGGTCTCTAATGTGCGCCATTTTGGTTTAAACGTGTGTGCGAGTGTCTGTGTGTAGCTGTTTCTTTGTTGCCACATTTGCCCAGAGGTCATTATAGACGCCTCGCCCGTTGCTCATACGCGATGTTGCCGCCAACTTCCGCTGTCGCTGCCGCTGCCGTTGGCTCTGTCTCAGCTGCTTTGGGGCGCCTCTGGCTTTGCCTCTGGCCTCTAAAGTGGCAATTTGTCTACTTTTGTAAGCGCCTCTTTTAACGATAATGATGATTGCGCTCTGTTGCGTTTTTATTTCACTGCGCACACACACACGATTCGCACATGCAGATCCAACTGTGGTCAAGCGTCCAAATAACCTGAAACCGAGTTCATTTTCATAGCTCGAACTCTGTTTTGCTTTCATTTTGCGGGCACATTCGTTTTCTGTTTGTCTCTTTTGCGGCGCTATTTGCTTAGAATTTTTCGATTTCCATTCGCATTCAGTCCGCTTCCCTGCAGCCAGTTCGTTCAGTTTGGCGAGTGGCTTAGCTCAGACGGACGCAGGCTTTAACATTTCATTTGAGTTCAGTTTTGTTCCTTTTTTTGTTTCTATTTCCGTCAACGTCTGTCGGGTTGAGTTGAGCTGAGCTGATGTCCTGCTATGCCTTTTTTCGCACTCTGTGGCTGCCGTGTCGTCGCCATT